GACAGAATCTTCTTCATTAGTATTTTGTGGTAATGTACCAAATGAAGAATTAGAATTAAATGTATTTAAAAAATCGTTTTGTTGTATAGAGTATGATCTTCTTGCTTGGGGTGTTCTTAATACACTTTGTTTTTGTCTTGCAATATCATCTAATAAAGACATTCGAGGTACATCTGATTGAAAATCATAATGATTTGGTTGTTCATTAAAATTTGGTTGAAATAAGGGTGTTCCGAATGATGTACGATTTCCATGTGTTGATACCTTCATTTATTTTTCTTATTAATTTTTTTATTATTCTTTTATTATTTTCAAGTTCTTTTTTATTTTTTCTCTTTTTAAAAAAAACCCTGTCTTTTTTTTTATGTAATAAATAACAATATTAATTTGAACTAATAAAACTTTCTTGTTCTTCAGTTGATTCAAAAAGAGAAGTTGTTGGTTGAGTGAATATCTCATTTTCAAAAGGCCGTTTTATTGGTACTGAACATAGTTCATTGTTTTGAATAACCTTTTTCAAAAGGTAATCTCTTTGTTGTTGTTTAATATTATTTGTATTAACATAAATTGCCTGATGAAGTATAATGTCGTCTTGGTCAGAAAACTCATCCATAAGATGAGGTATAGTAACTTCAGGAGAATTGAATAATAAAAGATTTGTAATGTTATTGTCATTAAAAAATTGGTCATAATTTGGTTCTTCTTCCATAGTTTGTTCTTAATGAGTTCTTACAAAAACAAAAAGAATAATAAAAGAAAGAGTTAATTTAATTGAAGTAAACGAAGATATGTGACTTTATCAGGAAGAACATAAGGAGTATAATATTCATAATCAAATTGTTGAATAAATGGTCTTGTTTTACGATACTTTGAACCATACTTCTCTTCATTTCTTTCTATTACAGTTACATTCTTTCCCATTGGGTACCACATCTTTGTTAATGAACTTACACAATTTACACAAATTGGAATTTCTTGTGGATTAATTTTATTTCTCATACAAACACTGACACTGATTTCCCCTATTCCTAGAGAATCAGTTCCATTCCCAATTAATGGGAACCAATCAGTCATCTCTACTCCCATTGGAAGATACTGTAATTCAATATTAGCATATCCATATACAGTTTCATTAAATGTATGTGATTGGAATACTTTAATAAGAACATTCATTCTATTCTTTGTATTTCCAGTTAAAGTAATTTCATGAATTGGTAATTGTGGTTCAAGAGATGGGGCTTGACTCTTAACTACATAATGCCTTTGTCCTTGTGCATCATTTATTGTTGAATAGTCATCAATAAGGAATGAAAGTGTTGGTTCTTTTCCTTCAATTAATGGGATACCACGTGCTGAATTAATTTTGATAATAATGTCTAGTGGTTCAGTTGAAGTAGTATAAAATGGTATTCTTTGTTGAGGAGGACGAGGATCAACATAAGAAATTTGGTTAGTGAAGAGATTAATAAAACACCATTTATTACGATAATAATACATAACATATCCTTGAGGAAGAACAACACTTCTCCAATTTGGATAAGGAAATGGTGGTTGTTGATCAACTCCTTGTAACGTTAACATAGTTGTACGATTTATATGATCAACAAAGAAACGATCAGAAGCACTATCTTTTAAACTTACTTCTTCAATTCCATTGGCAAAAGGAATATTTAATGGAGGATGAGGATGAATACCTTGGAATGGAATTCTAAAATCATTTGTTCTGTCAATAATATTAACTGGATATTTATTTATGGCATCAAATAAAACTTGTGGATTAGATGGGGGTTCAGACGAAATAATAATAGGACACATTAGTTGATATTGTTTTGGTCCAGCTTTTACTGACAATAAAACACTGTACTTTACTGTTGCACTTGGATGATCTGAAGTTGGGAATAATCCAGGTGGAATGACCTCACGAATTGTTTCATTTACTTCATTAGAAACATTCTTTTTAAAAATAGAAAGAAATTTAATTTTTGAAGGAATTGTTTCTAATTTATATTTCTTTAATACCACAGGAAGTGAATTTTGAAATTCAACTAATAGTTTTAAAGATGGTTCAAGGTCATGTCTAGATTTATTTAAAATATGAAAGACAAAAGAAAGTTCGTCACCAATTTTTAAACAAGTGTTATTAAAATTTATTTCCATGTCTATATCACTATTAGTAGGAACTGTTAATTTTCTTGGTTGTCCACAAACATATTTTGGTTCTCTATTAAATAAAATGTAATAAGGAACTACATTTGTTCTTACAGGCTCTGGATAGTTAATAGAAATTATTGCTGAGACTGTATAAAAAAGTGATTGAGATAAACTAGGATCATTTATAGAATGTGGGAAATTCTTAAGAGGAATACAAAATGGAAATAAATGTTTACCAGGATAGTATTCGTAAAAAACATTTCCCATTACTTGATAATCACCAATAACATCTTGTGTATGCGTCCAAAATGGTTGTACGTGTTTACTCATAGAATTATCAACACTTGGTTTATAAGCCCTTCCCACAACTGGTGGAAATGGGATATTAAATTTAGAATCTGTATTTGTTGAAACATATCCAGTTAATGTAATTTTTATACTTTTAACTATACACATTCTTACTGCTTCAAATTCAATAACTCCACACAAATTATCAGGTAAAATAATTATGTCTGTATATAATATTAAACGAGCAGATGCTTTTGTTTTAGAAGATGACATGTATTACCAAATTCGAGTTTTAGTTTTTTCTGTTATTTTTTTTTAATTTTCTCATTTTTATTTGTCACTTCATTATATTTTTAGAAATATCTAAGAAAAATTAACAGAAAACTTTAAGTAACAAATAACATAATTTTATGTTGCAATTTTTTGACTTAAAGGAATAAAAAACAAAATTTATTCTTCATAAATAAAACAAAATAAAATATAATAACTCACCAAACTTAAAAATCAAAAGTATTTTAACAAAAATGAAAATAAGTGCATTGCCAGTTCTTTTTCAAGGAGATTTATATATTGCTAGTCCTGTTAATTTAAAAGTACTTCATGGATCTATTCAACAAAGTAATGGTGATGGAATTGCTTTACAAAAAATTGATAGAATGTCAGAATTAAGAGTCCAATGTGAAGATACTACTAGTGGTTCATTAAATTTGTTATTAGAATATGACTGTTTGTTAACTCATCTTTCACAAGCACTTTTAGGTGCTCCATTACCAATAGAGTTTAAATGGAAAATTCCTATAACAAAAAAGAAAACAGGATTGTTTTCTATTATTGAAACAACTGAAGTTACATTAGAAGAACAAAGTTCTTCTTCTATTAATTTTGAACGAGTTCATGTACTGTTTAATGCTGGACTAATTACTTTTAGAAATGCCACTTCATTGGCTAGTTCTATTCCAACAGTTCCTGATTCAGTAAAGGTTTTTTCTAAAGCAGCTGGTATTTTTGTTGCTTGTACTGAATTAGCTGATAAGTGTGGATTAAAAAAACAAGCAAATGATGCTAGATTATTAAGTACGATATCTCGTGGGTATGCACAATTAGCTATGTATGTAAAAGCTGTAAATAATAATAGTAGTGTAATGTTAAGATCTAAGATTGCAGGTGGTGCAGTAGATTTATTACGTGATGGAACTAAAATGTTGTATAATTTTGCACTTATAGTTGCTCATAATGCAGCAGCAACTGTAAGTGAAGAAAATTTAGAATATGGAGATGCGTTATCACATTATAGAGAGTGTTTAAAAATTATTCATGAAGCAAATAACTCTAAATTTGAAATAATGGGAAAAGAGATAAAAAGTGTATTTGATTCATTAACAAAAGATAATAATGACATTTATATGAAACCTATTCCTGATGTACCTCCTGAAATACAAAGTCGTGTTGTTGTTACAGATACTGCTTATGAATTAAAAGATCAAGAATCTCCTTTTAAATCTATTGTTCCATTTGCACTTAGAGGACCATTACAAAGGTATCAAAGAGAGAGTGGAAAGATTGTTAGTGATACAAAAAATGATATTCCTCAATATACTGTTGATGGAGATAGAATTATACAAAATATAAATTTAAGAGAACTTGAAAATCAAGTAGAAAATTTAAATGGAATACCAACAAGACTTAGAGTTGTTCTCTTAAGAATTAAAGGAAGTAATAGTATTGAAGAGGTACTTAAACAATTAGAAGAAATGAATGAAAAGAATAAAAAATTGAGAAATAATATTGAAGAAATTAACGAAGAATTAAAGAAAGAATCTGAAGAAAATGAAACCATGAGAAAAAAGTATCAAGAAAGTTGGGATAGACAACCATCAAATATTGTTGGAAGAGAAGTATATAATGAAATTGAAAGAATTAATAAAATTCTTGAATTTAATAAAAATTGTTATTTAGATAGTAAATCATTAATCCTTAAAAGTGAATCAAAAATCAAAGTGCTAATGAAAGGAGAAGATGAATTAATGAATTCATTACCAAAAAATAATGGAAGTGTTTTAAAAGAAATGGTAAGACAAATGACTGAATTATTTGAAAATTGGAATGAAATTAAAGTTCAAAGAGAAGAAGCAATGAATCAAATTATTGAACTACAATCAAAACATCAAAAAACATTATTAGAAGAGATGAAACAAGCTAGTGATAAAAATACTTATATTGATTCATTAATAAAAGAATTTGGAGTACATACAAATGAAATTCAAAAAAATTTAAATCAACAAACAGAATTAATGAATCAAATTTATAACCTTCATAATGATATTCTTCAAATTACAACTTCTGTTAACGATACTAAAACTTCTGTTTGTAATGAGTATTCTGAAGTTGGTGAAAAATATATTTCAAACTCTCTTCAAATAGTTGAAATTCTTGTTCAATTAGAAAGTTTAGAAGAAGATATTAATAAATTACAAAAGGATGCTAAAAAGTTTTGTGAAACAAGAAAACAAGAACTTCCTATTATTGAGCAAAGAGCAAAGGAAAATAAAAAAAAATTAGAGGATGAAAGAAAAAATCAACAATCTTTACAATATTCAAAAAATTCTTATACCACTATTCCTCAACAATATCCCTCTTCTTTTAATACCCCTCTTCAAGAAAATAATACTTCAAAACCATATCTTTCTTCTTATTCTTCTTATAATCAAAATCAAAGTACTACCCAGTACTCTTCTTCTTACATTACTTCTCAACAACAAAATAATCTAAAACATTACCCTTCTTCTTATTCTCCTTCTAACCAATTAAATAATCAATCGCCTTCTTATCCTTCTTCTTATTCTCCTTCTCATCAAACAAATCAACCCCCTTCTTATCCTTCTTCTTATGCTACTTCTAAGTCAAATCAACCTTTAAATAGATATTCTACAACTCAAACACCTTCTTCTTCTATTCCGGTTAGTTCATACCCTTCAAGTTATACTACATCTAATCCTACACAACCACCACCATATTCACAAATTCCTCAATACCAAAATACACAATATAACTATTCAAATTCTACAGCTCCTTTAGGGACTCTTCAACCACCAATCCCTACATTGTCTTCTCCAACAACAACCCTCCCACCTCCAATACCACCAACTACTTATCCATTGTCAGCTCAAGAATTACCATTAAGTAGAGGAACTCAACCATATTTATCATCTTCAGTTGGAAGAGTTCAATACGGAACAGTACCCCCTCCCCTTTCTCCTTATGGAACAGTTCCAGCCCCAGTAACACCATATAATTCCCCATATCCTTATGGATATAATCCATTCTAATTTTATGTTTGTGTTGTTTTGAATTAAAAAACAATTCTTTAAATAAATTATGCTTTTTCATTATCATTAATGTTTATAAAAACTTTTCTTTTTCTTAAATAATTATTTCAATTAACTCTCATAAAATAAAATTATTTTTATTTTCAAAAATATTTTAATTATAAGTATATATAACATTATTTATTCCAAAAAATAATAAAGTTATTTAAACAGTTTATTGCTTTAAACACAATACATTCATCAAAGTTTTTTTATTAAATATAAATTAGTGACATAATTCAAATGAGAAGTGTAACCATTTAAATAAGGTTATTATTATTAATATCATTGTTTTAAAGAAATGTTTCTTAATAGAACAAAAATTCAAAAAGATAGTTTTTAAAATAAAAAAATGTTTTAATTCAATTTAAACTCATTAAGATATATTTATTCTTAAACAAATAAAATAAAAAGAGATACTTGAATTAATTGAATTATGTTTGTACTATAAGATGAGAATAATTTAATCTCGGTCTTCTACTTGTTCAATTCCACATTCTTTTAATAAAACAGAGACTTCACGATCTTTCATAACTTTAAAACTTGGTTTATTTTGATTATCTAATTTAAAAATACCAAATTCTAATTTAGATGGTACCATTGATGAACTTTCTACACTTTTACTAAAGATTTTAACTGCTAATTTTTTTGCTTCTTCTAATGTAATATCATCTTTATATTCTGTTTTCATAATTGATTCAGCTGCTTGATAATTAGCTCCAATAGCAGTAGCTTTCCATCCTCCATAATTTCCACTTGGATCACACATATATAATTGATATCCAAAATATCTATCCCATCCAGCATATAAGAATGAAACTCCATATGGTCTTAATCCACCGTATTGAGTATAACTTTGTTTCATATCACAAATTCGTTGTACTAACATTTCTACTGGTATTTCTTCTCCATATGTAAATCTATGTTGTTGACATACATCTCTTAAATAATCTACTAATATATTTGTATCTGATGTTATTCCTGCTGCAGCACATGCAATATGTTCATCTAATTCATACATTTTATCTGCTCCTTTAGACCTATCAACTAATCGTGCAACTCTTTTCTTTTTAGCAGCAAGTAAAATTCCATCAGTGGCTAAAATACCAATTGCACTTGATGAATGACTAATAGCTTCCATTGCATATTCGACTTGATACAGTCTCCCTTCAGGGGAGAACATAGTAGTTCTACTATCATATCTTCTTGCCATTAAATCAACTAATTTTTTTTGTTTTAATTCCTTTTTTAGTTTTTTCTCTTTTTGGTTTTGAAGTAAAAGGGTTTTAAAAGGGGTTGAATAATTAAATGGAATAAATTAAAGAACGATTTCTTCTCTATCAAATGTTTCAATTCCATGATCAGTCTGAATTAACACCTTCCAATCTGTTGTATAACCAACAATTATTCCGTTATATTCTTTAGCAATTAATGAAGAGTTATTAGAAACAGGTCTCAGAGTAACCTTTTTTCCATTTAAGAAATCAATAGACTTAAAATGATTTAGTAAAATAGGATAACTTTGACTTATTAATTCAAAATACTTTTCTCTAAATGAAACCATTAATTCAATTTCATTTATTTTAGAAACATCACCAATTTCACTGAGACTAATAGAACAATCAAGGTCTTTCTTATAAAAATTAATTCCAATTCCAATATTAACTAAAAAACTATTATTTTTCCATTCTGCTTCAATCAATATTCCAAATAATTTTTTATTGTTAACATATCCATCATTTGGCCATTTTCCAAATACTTGAATCCCATACTTTTCCTTCAATACAGAACATAAAGAAAGTAATGAAACTATTCCACTTCTTCTTAACTCTTCTTCTGTTTGAGTCTGAAACATAAATGTGAATAAAATATCATGTTTATCACTTTGCCATATCCTATTTTCTCTTCCTCTCCCTTTAGTTTGATTATGAGTATAAACAATACACCCACTTTCACATTTTTCAGTTTCCCAAAGTTTTTTGGCTTCATTCATTGTTGATTCACATGTTTCAATAAACACGCAATTCATTTTGTTTTATTATTTTATTATTTTATTTTTTTTTTATCAAATTAAATTAACCAAATTTTTTTCAAAAACTTCTTTCAGTTCACTTTATTATTTAGTATGTCTTTTTATGAATTCCTTTTAAATCAATAATTATCCTTTTCTTTAAAAGAATATATATCACAAAAAAATATTATCAAAAAACAAATTGTAACAAGTAAACACCTAATAACTATTAACCTAATAACCCATTTAGACAATAAACTATTTTATATAACAATCCAGTGTCAATATGAATTATTCTATTGGAATTATCAAATAGACCAATAAATATCATCAACAGGAATTCTTTAGATGATATATCAAGAATTTTACCAAATTCTTCAGATGAAGAACTAACTCCATCTTGAATGATGTCAAATGTACTCTTTTGATTTTGATTATCAAATTAAGTGTTATTATAGAACAAATAGAAACGGTAATTAAATAATTTGGAGTATTAACAAATATTCCTATCCATTATTTTTAGTATTATTTTCTTTCAAAAACTTGGATAAGAATAAGAACAATCAACTGTAAGTTCTTATATTTCAATATTTACTTTCTATTGCATTATTACTATGTGAATTAGAATTCATTGTTAATTTTGTTGCAATAAATATAAATTCATAAGTTAAATTAGGAATGAAAGAACCTAATTGAATTTGATATATTAAACCTTTTATTGCATTAAATTGTATATAAGAACATCTATTTTTAGTTAAAAGAGTTGATTTTTAATACATGCATAAGATCTTAATTATCATTAACGACAAAAATGATATATCATAGTTTAAGATGGCGTTATTGGTGATAATTCAGTCACTACTAATATAGATATTAACATTGTACTTGTTTTATCACAATAACCCTAAGTTAATAATTGATTATAATTCAATAGTAATGTTGATTAAGGAAGCTGAATTTCTTGAGTAGTAGAACAATCATTTGAAAGATATCTCTTTTGTATATTCAATTTGAACTTTAATATTATTATGAGTTGATCCTTCATCAATAAAAATATTTTGAGAAACTTAAACAAATATAAAATGGTCTATTTCTTATTGAACAATAATAATCACTACATCTGTTTTTTTAATTCAATTGGAATATAATTATGACTTGTTATCCCATATGCACTAATTTTAATAGATTTATTATTTAAATTAGATTAAATAAAATACAATTTTCCTTTTGATTTTATTTCTTTTCCATAACATCTGTAAGAAGAGTGTTTTATTTCTTTTGTTGAGAATAATAAGACATTTGTATTTTGGTTAATAACTTTTATTAAAACAAGTATCACATTGGTATTTTTGTTATTGGTTGAACTCTAAGAACTCAATGACAATTTGGTTCAAGATAAACAACATGAAGAATAATATCAATTGAAGAATTATTATTATATCTAATACATCTAAAATTTCTACATTGTTTTGAAGATGAAATAAGGTAAGAAGGATTATTAGATTGATTAATAACTTCAAAAATAAGAACTGTATCAGCAGAGTCACACGTACTTACTAAAATTTCATTTTAATGATATTACATTTGAACAAAATAAGCAAGCACATCTTTGATTAAAGAATTTTAGCAATTATTGTTACTTCTTTTTTAAGTTTCATAATAAAAACTTTATATCTAATAAAATCTCACAATTAACAACTTCTCTTGTTTTGACATTACCAAATTGAGAAAAACAATTAACAAATAGTAATGATAATAATAACGAAGTTCAGAACATAAACTGTTAATATCAGGGTCATTTTAGTTTGAAACAAAAAACTTGAATTCAAAAAGCCATTAAAAAAATAAAAGAGAAAACTAAAAAAATTAAAGAAAAATAGCAAATGAAGAGTGCTCTTGATATTGTTAATAGAAAAATTTACTCTGCAAGTAAAAGTGTTAAAGAAAAAAGGAATGAAGAAGTAAAAGAAGTTGATCAAGAATTTGAAACAATTGACAACGAATTTAAAATTCAACAATGTCAATTTCAACACATTATGAATTCCTTATCAACACATTTAAGTGTCATTAGAAAAACACCTCAAAGTCTTTTGAAGATTGGTGATTCTTTTCTTCAGATATTTAATCAAGAAGATGATATTTATAATCATGTATTACAATTTAATTCTTCTTGTCAAATTAGACAAATGGCTGAATATGACTATGCAACTGCATATGAAATATTATATTCTAATGCTCATTCATGTATTATTCAATATAATGAATTAGAAGATAGAAAAAAAATAATGAAAGACAGAAAGATTGATTGGGAATTAGCACAAAGTCGTGTTAAAGAAATGAAAAAAAAGAAAAACAGAAAAGGCCTTGATGAATTACTTGAAAAAGAAGAATTTGCAGATGTTGCTTATCATGAATTAAGAAATGAATTAATCCAAGATATGTGTCTTATGATGAACATGGTTGTAAAATATAGAAGTACATTATTTCGTGCTGTAGTTGAACTTGAAATGAAAAAAAGAGA